GGGGGGGGGGGGGGGGGGAGGGAAAGTGGTAAAGGGTAAAATTTTTATAAATTTTTTTTCACTCCACACTCCCATCACGTTCTCTCATTTGTCACTAATGTGTACTCGTGGAAATTTCATACCCCCTCCCTCCCCCCGGGGTCATTCATACATAAATTCCAAAGGGTCGTTTACAGCACGCGACTTTTTTTTTTTTTTTCTTTTACTCGGACAAGTTACATATATAAATTTGCATCACGTGTACAAATGACCTCACGTAATTACGCCTTATCATACCTTCCATATAATTGATTAACGTTACATAAATTAATTAAATCTACACCTCCTATGATTAACGCGCCTTGTTATTAACGCTCAAGTTTAAATGAGCCTTCGCTCGGCGCGCGTGCGCGCGCAGCTCTCGTTGCATTTACTCTTCGTTACACCTCGTTAATTAACGTTTACGGATGTCGTTTCATCATGTTGGCCACTCCGAGCTCCTTCGTGTATATACATATATATACACATATATATTTAACAAGATTTATATGGCAGCTACAATATACAGGAAGTCGAGTTTTTATCTCGAGATTTTTTTTTTACAAATTTTGTATGCCTGCTGCTTAATTGGCAGCCCTGAAAAGAAAAGAAAAAAAAAATAGAAACGAAGTAAATACCGAGCAAGAAAAAATAATTATTTTCGATTTTCAGATTTTTTAAGCTGTCTCTTCACTTCGGGATTTAAGGCTGACGCCAATTTTTCTTCTCTTTCATTCCTTTGCTGCGGGCGGAGCGAGAAAGAGAGAAACTTACATACGTGTTATCTTCCGTTTCCTTTGATTGCGCTTAATTAACCGAGAGGAGCAGCCCCATAACAAATTGTATCGCGCGCACTATAGATCAATCCGGTAATTAATAGTTGCCCCAGCCGGCTCATGGGTTTAATTAAACTCCACGAGATTTAGCCGCAGGTTCCGTGCATCAGCTTCGAGTGACTTTATCTCTGAGTAAATTGACTTCCGTAAGTATATAAAGACATGCAACCCTTTCCCCGACTCTGCACCCACGTCCCGGACACCCGTTACATCCACGATTCTCCCTCCGAAGGCGTTGGGGCTCCGTTATGTCATGATTTTAAAATTGATTAAATCGCCACGTAATCACTCTATTCAGTTAACACCGCCCCACTGCTTCCACCCCTGACAAGTCTCGATTTTCCATTTTACGTGAAATGCCATACTCGAGATTCTCGTTCTTGAGTGAATCGAAATTATTTTTTTTTTTTTCTACTCCTATACAATTTCAATTCTCTATCCTCGATACTGTAAGATCATCCCCTACACCCCCACTAAGACCTCTTGTGTCTGGAAGTTTACGTCACCTCTGAAATTCTCTTGTTTTTTTTTTTTTTTTTTTTTTTTTTTTTTTTTTTTTTTTTTTTTTTTTTTTTTTTTTTTTTTTTTTTTTTTTTTTTTTTTTTCATTACCCCACTAGGGGTCGTAGAGGTAAGCATTTTTTTCTTTCATTTTACTTTGCTTCCTGGCAACGCCTCAAACGTTCCCTCAGTGTCGAATTTAAGCTTCAACGATCGCGCACCCTTTTACGAAATTTAAGATCAATCGCAGAGTTAAATTTATCTCCGGGACGCCTAGGGTGGATTAAAAAAGAATTTTAAGTGTGATGAGAAAAAAAAAAGGTTACCGTCGACTAAGTCGATTGTGTTACGCTTTCGTTCTACGGGGTATATTAAAATTTTTTTAATTTTTTTTTTTTTTTTTTTTTTTTTTTTTAAATTTGACCCTTAATCGTCCGTCGGCTCGTATTACAAAGAGTTACGAAAAGTCGTTCAAACAGTTGCGATATTCTTAACGGGAATTCGAGCCAAGCCGTAAACAGGGTAGCGGGATTAATTTAAAACTCTATAGGACGGGCGTTGTCGGCCGATCAATCTGGCCTCCTGATTCCTGGGAGCAGTCGCCGTTAAATCAAGCAAGCTCGAATTCCCCCGAGCGATCCCGTTCTCAGCGTGCCTGATCAAACGTAGTAATTACACCGTAGCGTTAATTACAAAATTGGGAGACGGTCGGATGAGAGAAGACAGTAGTTCGAACCACGGCACACGGTATATTCTAAACGGGAATAAATCAAATTAATTATCGAATTTAACAGGAGAGCTCGCGCGGGATATTAACGGAATAATTATTTATTTTTCATTTATTTCACGTCATTCTTATTTCAATCCCTCCTGCCGTCGAGGAATACTCAACGAGGCGCATCAGCGAGAACATCCGTGAACGTAGAAATCCTACTCGGTCGTACCGAGAACTTTTGATTATGTAGGTATACAAGTTTTTAATCACTTTTTAAATCGTTTTCCTATCCCTTCCACTCCCTGTCTCCCCGGTCATTCGTAAGGGTCTACTTTTTTATTCTTTTTTTCTCTATCGCTCTCGCTCTCTCCGAATGAAAATCTTGCCGCGTTTACGTCCAATTAGCCTTCGCCCCCATTTTCCATCCCTTGTACAGTAAGGGATATTTGGAGAGAATTTTTGTACCACGCCGAGGTGAATGCTAATCGTCGTGTCGAATTGTTTGTAACTTTTGTCACTAGAATTCTAGGGATTTTTTTTAGCTTACTTGTTTTCCTCTCGAGTGAGCCCGACGGGGCAGGAGGGCTGTGAAATTTTTGTTCTAAACTTTGCCGTTACTATATGTGTGTTACCTTTGACTGTTGAAAGCCGTGTCGGACGTAGCTGCCGGACTGGACTCTAGTTTTCTGTAACAAAGAATGTAAGAGGGAGCTGCTTAATCTTTATTTTACGACAGAAAGCCACGGGCGGCAGCTGTGTGTGTAGAAAGAAGGTTAAAGCCACGCCGTGAAATCACGGAGCATTTATGGCCGAGTTTATTGGGAAAGAAGAGCACTGGCAGTGTTTACAATAAAATTGATGGCGGGTGTACAAGCTTAAGAAAAAACATAAATTACATAGACACAAAAAATGGAGTACATTTTCTTTTTTTTTTTTTAATTGAATTTCATACACGCACTCCTGTCACTTGACAATTTCACGGTCGTGCATGGGTATTTGTGGATATTTAAAATTTCCCGCCTCGAATGGCTTATGAGAAAATCAACGCGTTATCTATCGTCTACGGAAAAGTCTGTTGGCCGTCCCTTCCGTCCGGGACCGGAAGTGCTGGTTCCTTGCAATTATTACGATGTCCTGCTCTCTCCCACCTTAATTAAATTTATATCCGTATCATGTCTGTATATGCTAAAGATTATGTGCTACAGCGTGCCTATACTAGATTCGTTGAAACTTATTGAGCGTACTATAGCAAAGTTTGGTATAAGCGAGATAACTTATGGCGATATAACGTGAATATAACAGCCATCGTATGTATATAATTATTGAAACTTTTTTTTTTTTTTTTTCAAATCAAAAACAAAAATATTTCTAATACGAACTTTTTCCTTGAGTTATCACGTAACCCATTTCTTATAACTCGCGATGAAACTCGACCCGCTGGAAAATTGACGAGGCAATTTGAAACTTTACCGGAATCGTCAATTTTACTTTTGGCGTCATAACGTTTTCGTATACTTATCGTACGTAGCAACAGGCGAATCGTGTGTTCGCCCGTAATATTCGTACTAAAAAATACGAGGTCGATTTTATTACTATGACTTAGAATTCATGAATATCGTTGAATTAGGATTAAATCATAAAATTCTGCAGGAGCGCGGACTCTTGCATGTTCGTTATCCTTGTGTGTGTTTCAATAGGACGAATCTTCACATACCGACAGTGATCACTTTTAGGACGAATTTCACGTTTTACGTATACGACGTGATTAATCGTCGAAAATATCGCAGTTATCTCACGTATTTTTTTTTTATTTTATCATTCAATGTCCACCCGCCCTTTCTTTTATTTCTTCTTTTTATTCTTATGCAAATCGGCCCTTAATGCTCCTGCGTACGAATGAAAACCCATGTGTGGAAAATTGCTTTTTAGTTGGATAACGTTTTTCTCCCATTTTTTATCTCTTTTCTTTTCTCTCTCTCTCTCTCTCTCTCTCTCTCTCTCTCTCTCTCTCTCTCTCTCTCTCTCTCTCTCTAGTATCTTTCTGGATCTATTTTCGTCTCTCTCTCTCTCCCTCTGTATCCAAAGACCCGGCCTATTCTCCATCTCCGTCAGTAGATTTTTTTCAAGTAATTCAGTACGACCCTGAAAGAGACACAGACCGATAGAAAGAGAGCGTCTACTCTGCCAAGATTCCAAAAATATCAGCTGCAGGAGGTCAAGGTTCGATACATAATATACAGAAACAACATATGTCACGAAGACAAATTTTAAAGTCACAAAAACATAACGGCCGACCATGAAAATGTATCTGGACCAATATATCAGACTTAGGTCAGGATCCACATATTTTTTTTGTTTTCAGCGGATAAAATCACCTTGAGAATTCGCCATTAGGTAACGTCAACGCATATCCTCTACATATATTTCGCACAGTGATAATTTTTTTCAAAATAATTTTTCATCACAATTTTTTCATTCACAAAAATTGTATCATTCCAAAATCGCGTATTTGTAACACGTATCTGAAATAGTCGTTCAGCCCCCCCCCCCCTCGTCGCCTGTTGGTAATATCGAAGAAAAAATAATAATTCGTGGCTGGATAAGAAAAAGTAATAAAAATAAAATCAAAGTATAATTTTCTCAACCGTGATAGTTTTCTTTTGTACGTTTCGCGCCTCGTACGTTTTATGTGAAAACATTTACTTTCGACAACAATACATATTTTTATTACCCCTTAGATAGACATCCGTATGACAAGGGTGCACACGCTATTTTCTATCGATCCAATATTCTCGATCCATCCTATTGGCCGACAGGAGCTTGCGTAACATTTTCACCCTCTATTACATAACACTGCTTTAACCCTGTGTATATACAGTATGTAGATGGGTCCATTAGACGTTAAAGCATTCAGGATGCTGTATAAGTGGTCCAGACTTAGTCACCGGTACCAAGCCGTAATATGGTGTGTATACGTGTGCTTTGTGCCTGGTAGAAAATAAACGTCGTAAAGGCTGTCGTTAACAAGGTAACCGAGATATCTAATTATTTTCTTAAAAATTTTGATTCCTCTCAAATTAGCCACTCGAGCATGTTACACGGATGCTGGACGGAGCATCATTTTCAGAGGAGAGAGTGAGCGTGAGAGAGAGAGAGAGAGAGAGAGAGAGAGAGAGAGAGAGGGAGTATTGATCGTAAATAGACGAATGAAAATGTTCGGTACAGAGATGCTGTCATGTACCAAACCTATGGAGCCCTGAATAAATTTGTCAAGATCTCTTAAAAAGTTTTATCCACTTCTGGTACTTTGAGTCTTGGACGTATACGAGAAGCTGAGAGAAATTTGAGGGAAATTCCTTAGTTCCATAACGGAGACAAGAAGCTTACAATCTATACAGTAAATCTATACAGTAAAACATCGAGGGACTCAAAGTCGCTTGGGAAAATCCTGTGGCAATAAATAATTTTTGGATTACCCGAAACAACTTTAAAATTTATTGAAATTTAGTATCTTAAATTTTTCGAAGGGCCCGATTCAATCATCCCGCCCGATTTCAGTCATCGCCATCGGCGTCTCCGTCTTACGCATGTATTTTCGCATAAGTCCCTCTCTCTCGCACTCACTGCGGGTATAGGAAACTTGAAAAATTTGCCGATCCTTCTTTGTATCTCATCGACGTAACACCGTACACGGTTTTCTCTTATTCAATTCAATTTGCGCAATTTGTTAATGCAAAAGTAAGAATGTTCTTTATTTTTTCTTATGAAACTTATATAGTGAAAAAAAAAAACCACAGCGATCGTCTCACACTCGCATCCCATTGTACATACAACCTCGATAGTCTCGCTGGGGGTCCTTAAATGTTTTTTTACCATATATACCGGGTGGCACCGCGTTTACGTAAATATCGAGGACACTTTGCAATATCCACTTCACGGTACATTGAATATTATCGAATGCCATATAAGTTCAATTCACATATGTTGCCAGGTATGAGTTTACAAACGACTCGGACCGTTACCCTTTATATGTATATATATACATATACCAGCAAGGGATCTCAAAAAATCGATCGGTTGTTATTAGAAACGACAGCAAGTCTTTTTCCATGTATTACAAAGAAACGGTCACACATAAGATACATTCAAACATACGTATATACCACATACTAAACATATGCACAGTACATTTCACGTGGAGCGTTTATGGGGGGG